TACACTATATTTCCAAGAAGGATCCCTCCGCAATGACGAAGACCCCTTTTCCTTGCCTCTTACCATGATCCCTAATGAAAGAATCGAAAATTACACAAAAAAATTCCAAAAATCTAAAACCCTAAAATTTCTTTCACTTCAAAAATCTAACCAAAAAGTAAAAAAAATACCTAAAATCCTTTGTGGACTTCTCCTACAAGGCGGCCGGACACTTCAACTTCGCCGGAGAGAGGCGGCGCCGGCGGGAGAGGCGGCGGGAAGGTTGGCCGAGCGGACGGGAGCCTCAGGATTTCGCAATCTGGAGCTCACGGGTGGAAAAAATCGGGAAGCAACTGAGCCGATCGGGTGTGAGGGAAAGGGTAAGTAGGTGGGCCCTTTTGGCTGAGGCGTACGCCTCTCTCAAAATTGCGCAATTGCGCAACAGAGGCGCGCCTCAGCCAATGTGAGGCGTACGCCTCACCACTGCCAGCAATTGCGCACGCCTCGAGGCGTTTTTTGCAAGAATTGCGTAGAGGCGTGCCTCTTATTGCGCAATTTTATACAGAGCTATTTATTTTTGGAAATTGGAATTATATGTTAATGAAAAGAATATTGAGATTTGGAAAAGATAGAATTTTGAGTTGAACTATATTTCATGTTGTCTTATTATTGAGATATTTTGATTTCACTTCATATCTTATGATTTTCTTTATATTTTATATTATTCACTCATTAGTATCTAAAAAACTTATCATTTTATGTTTATGCAATCTTTTGATTTTGAGGCTTAAGCCACAAAACGCCTTGAGGCTTACGCCTCGCCTCACGAACGAAAAACGCCTCAATACCCGAATACGCAATTTTAAACATTGGTTTAAAGTAAGAACGTCAAAGATTGGGCACCTGCATATTGTGACCTGAAGCTTAAGAACTAAGAGTAATGGCTAGTGGCATTTTTTTTAAAGAAGCTATCATAATGCAGACAAATATTTAGGCAAAATACTGACAAATTCACTCAAGAACCCAACACCCGCAACAAAAAGTCAAAAATTTAAGATTCTCAAGGTTAAAGGGCAGTTATGAAGCTGGCAAATACTATTAACCTGTGTACAGTGATGTTATTGCTGGTCCCAAGTTCATGTATGAAATGTTTAGAGTTGATATTAGGATGATGAATAACGCAAAGCCGTAATCCATGAAATGATACTCAGTTCCATATTCTGCTTGGATAGACCTATACCTAATTTCTTCCAAGTAATATACTACAGTATATACACAACAATCTATATTTCAAAAAGGGCAGCATCAGATACCTCGAAGAAAGATTGCCAAAGAAATGAGCAATGAAATAGAATTGGGAGGAATTCACTTAATATGAAATTAAGAAAAATGCTTCAGACTAAATATAAAGAAAAAAACAAGGAGTATTTTTATCAAAAACAAAATCAGTTTAACAAATATTTCAAAAACAATAACCAAATAACGATTGTCACAGACTATATAAAGCATTTTATCAAATGATAGAAGGGAAATCATACAGCTTACTTTTCTCCTGAGAGTTCGGATGAATCAGTCAACGATGCACGTAAAGACAAATCAACATGCACAAAGCCAGTTGAAGATCGACTAATCTCCAGAACCTTGCACTTCACAAACTGCCCTTCATGATATCCAGAAGAAGGATCGGCTATCCAAGAATCTGCAATTTCAGTATAATGAACCTTGCCAAAAAGATGGGGCCCAATTTGCACAAATATTCCACCAACATTTGGAAGTATAGTTTTAATTCTACCACCAATCACATCACCATTCCTTATATGTTCCATATCAGTGTTATTAGAACTTAAGCTATGTTCATTATCACTCTTCTCAGCTTCATGCTCAAGTGTTGCTTTACAAACAAATGAAGCGTGTGATGACAACCGCACCATCTTCTTCTCTTTGTTTACACTTATAACATGCCCTGTAACAACTTGTCCAACACTAAATCTTTTATGAAATTCTTGAAGCTCATCAGGCTCGGATGAACTATCAAGAATAAAAAGATTAGCCATAAAATGTGGAGTTACTGACACTTGTACCCATTCCTTGTCAACCTTTATCACATAACCTTTAACAATGCTACCAACTGAAACTTCATCAATTTTAATGGAGGATCCTACTGCTTCGATATTTCCTGGACAAAGATTTTTCAGATGATAGTAACTATAAGTAAAAAAGGTGTATATGAAATTATGAATAGAGTAAATGTAGCAATCTGAATACAAAATATAGAAGAAAATATAAAATGAATTAGTACATGAACCATGCAAGTGAACTGGGTCAACCTTTCAAATGCAATTGAAGTTTCTCATTACGCATTTGGAAGCATTTTCACTCTCTTTTTGGCATGCATAATGTTGAGTTAGTTTGCAAGACTTAAAAGAAACCAGTAACAAAATATAAAACCACATTAACACAAAAAAATGAATATCAGTTAGCTTAGCATAGGGTTTATGGAAGTAGTGCCCCGTGTCCATAAAAGGAAACATATTGAAGATATTGACATTGTTTGGTTAACAAATCTATTTAGAAAATCCTAGAAGTTTAAAAGAATGCCAATATATGGAAAAAATAATTTGATATTTGTCTTTGAAAACAAGATAGATGTTTGGGGATGTTATAGTTATAAAGAAATCAACTATATAAGTAAGAAAAACATGCAGAAACTTGCATTGCATTAACTAAACCATCTTACTCTTGGGAGATGATAAAAATATAAAGATCAGAAACTACATAATGATGATTATACCTTTTAGAATCGAAGGTTTGAGTGATAACAGCCATTTGAAGGAATTTTTAATCCTTCCTGTATGTGGAACCTTTGCAATAATTCGTGCATTAACCAACTGCCCAATGCGAAAATTAGAAAATGGGTTCTCCAAAGCACGATCATCATCCACCTAAAAAAAAACTTAAATAATAAATAAATAACCGATAAAAGAATAAAATCATGCCAATAAATCAGGAAAAACAATCATTTGATAGTCACCTCAGTTATATGTATTTTCCCATGAAAACCAGATCCAAATTTTACGAGCAGCTCAAGAGATTTTATGTCAATAATCTGTATAAGAAATAAAAATATTAAACAAGTCAAATGCAAGAGATAGGAAATCTACAAACACATTACATTTGCCCAAGCACCAGATTCTAATATGAATAGGGAATATATTTCATCAAATCCAAGCATACAAAGTTCCACCATTAACTTGAGCCGTGTGCGCCATACACAAATAGAAAAAAAAAGTGTCAACCATAAATAGGGTCAACTTCAAAAAATAATGAGAGCTTTTATCTTTTTTTTTTTATTTTCAATAATTTTACACAGTTGTAAACAAACAGTCAAATTTTCTTTAATATAATATCAATCAATACAAGCGTAAATATTGGAGTAACTCTATTGAAGATTAGGTGATAAAAAACAGACTTGCATGATCCAGATATGCACAACAAATGGAAAAAATGCACCACCCATTAGACTACTTGATAAAATTAGTGTCAATCAATTAAGGAAAGAGAGAGAGAGAGAGAGAGAGAGAGAGAGAGAGAGAGACCCTAAGGTCCCATGGCTAGAAGTTGTTCAAAATGTTTAATAAAGTACATATTTAACATCTAAGATAACACTCAAAAGAGAAAAATGAAAAACGAATATTTATAACATCACCCCAAATAATCAGCATTGATGATTAACTAAAGTATTCATAACAATTGCATGGATAGATATGCTGATAGGAAACACTTCTCAAGTATTTCCTATCAATCTTCATAAAAACTACGAGAAACTCTTCCAAAATCCAATGAAAATTAGGGAAAACAATAGATTTTATTGCAAAAAATCAACTAACGGAAGAAAAACAAACAAGATACAATTGATCCTCAATTCAAGAGGAGGATCAATCTCTCCCAAATCTCTAGACGCTGCTAGAGCTCAAAGAAAACCTAAATCTAAGATATCTCAAATTTCAGCCAAATTCAAGATGTCCTAACCCTAAGAAAACAAAGTCTTTAACGCATACAAATCAAAAGGAAATCCCTAAATAGTCCCTACATTCAAATTTCCCTCCCAAATCCCTAAAACATCCTTCATAAAAAGCTTCGTAAGCTCCTGCGGCGCGTGCGGCAACAACAGGAGGTGGAGGCATTCCACCTCGTTTGCGTTTGGGCCGGTCCCGTACGGACCGGTCTAACAATACTCCCCTCCCTTCTCCGCAAGGTGGAAAGACGACACCCTCCATTCCTTCTTCATCACAAACGGTAAGAACCTGAAGAGTCCGCTCCTTACACCTATGCTTCGGGGTATACCTCTCGTCACATCTGAAACACAGCCCCTTCACCCTCTTCTCTTGTAATTCTGTCTTTGTGAGCTTCTTGAAATCGTCCCCAGGTCTTCCTCCTGCAGCCTTTTCCTTCGAAGTCCCCCGAAGAGTATCCGGTGTTAGCTCCTTGGATTTCAATAAAGTGGTGATCATCCTGTACGAGCCTCCTGAGCTGCCACCTCCCATCCTCTGATCTTCTACCAATTGAGATAGCTCCATAGCCTCTCCCAAGTCACGAGGCCTCATTACTCTAACCGTTGCTCAGATCTCTGATGTCAATCCTTTCATGAAGTTTCCCTCTAACATTGTCTGAGAAAGGCGGTCCAATCGGCTAGCAAGGTACTTGAATCTCTTCCGGTACTCCATCATTGAACCCTCCTGTGTTAAGGCGAAGAACTGCTCGTAGAAGTCTCCTCCCTTGCCCGTTCGGAAACGTTCTACCAAACAATCCTTGAACTCTCTCCAACTTCGTATAGGTCGTTGCATGTCCCTCCACTGATACCAAGATAAAGCCTTCCCTTCTAAACATAGGCCCGTCGCCGTCAATCTCTCCTCCTCTATCAACCCATTGATGGTGAAATACCTTTCTACCTTATATATCCACCTGTGTGCATCCTCCCCCTCAAAGATTGACATCTTCAGTTTCCTCACCCTCAGGTCACACCCGTTTCCCCTAAATCCTCCATAACCTCCTATTCCTCGAAGCAGAGGTGCTCCCCAATTGTCACGATCTTCCCTCTGGCAATCATACCCAAACCATTCATCAAAATCCCCTCTTCTTCTTTTATAATTAGCATCCCGATGATCGAAATTATGCCCTCCTTACAAATTCAGCACCCATTCTTGTGTAGTCAATGATCATCTCCTCCCTAGAAAGTGGTTCTAGATGAGGCATTCCGTCTTATGCCTCCAGGATATCCACTTCTGACTTTTCCCTTCCCCTAGACATGTTAGGGTTTCCATCTCTTCCATGGCCGCCGGTAGTTTCCTTTGCTTCCAATGTCACCAGTTTGGTTTTGGCTTCAAGCAATTTCTTCAACATGTCTTCCACCACGGCGAACTTTTCCTTCATCTTTTCAAAATCTGCTTTGAGTTGCCCAAGTTCTCCCTCCAAAACTTCCACTTTCCTTCCAGTCATTGGTTCCCCTTCGATCGACATGCTCTATCTAAAGTATTTCCTATCAATTTTCGTAAAAATAGCGAGAAACTCTTCCAAAATCCAATGAAAATCAGGGAAAACAGTAGATTTTATTGCAAGAAATTAACTACGAAAGAAAAACAAACAAGATACAATTCATCCTCAATTCGAGAGGAGGATCGATCTCTCCCAAATCTCTAGACGCCGCTAGAGCCCAAAGAAAACCTAAATCTAAGATATCTCAAGTTTCAGCCAAATTCAAGATGCCCTAACTTTAGGAAAGCAAAGTCTTTAATGCCTACAAATCAAAAGGAAATCCCTAAACAGTCCCTACATTCAAATTTCCCTCCCAAATCCCTCAAAAATCCTTCCTAAAAAGCTCCGTCTACTCATGCGTCAACAACAGGAAGCGGAGGCGTTCCGCCTCGTTCGCGTTTGGATCGGTCCCGTGAGGACCGGTCCAATGGACTGTTCTAACATATTCATATTAGGATAAACTATAAAAACCGGGTGAATAAGAAAATAACAGAAGATAACAGGGAGCACTCACAAGATAAGTAGGATCTATAAACTAGTCACAATCACTTAGCTTTTGACTCTCCAACAAAGAACGTGCAAGACATAACACCACTGATGCAACCTATTGAAAGGTAGATATATAGCAGTCAAAGGATCCATAAAGCTAACACCACTTTTATACACCACTATAGTTTTGGCAACCTCCTAACTGAAGACCATTGAAACCCACCACTACCCAATCTTCCCTTCCAAGCGTCAAGGAATCCTTCATTTAGTTCGCAAGAACATTATCTAAACCAAAAGACTCATAATCTGAATCCCAAACCTCTTCCTCAAATCAAACCTCATATCCTGCTTAGCACATATATGAAGTGGTCCCTAACAACTATTTGAGTGTACCAGTTAATCTGGTTGACACAAGACATGCCAGTTTCTTTCAAGATCTTGCGTTCAATCATCGCTTAATACATAATAACTCGCACCCTACAGAGTTTGGTTTGGACAAGAATAAAATCCAAAATAGAAAATAAAACTCCAACAATAAGAGCTATGTAGAAGGATTGGAAAGAAAAAGGGGCAAACCAAAGATAACCAAACCATATAATTTAAAAAAAAAAAGTACAAATAAACTTGGAATATGTAGTACTCATCAGGACTAAATAGATATGAACTATTTATAAATCCAAATAACATAGATAAGGCTAACAATGATGATATAATAATGATAAATTAAAACTCAAACCATTTTTACTGTGTTCAAGAGTCAGGCCTCCAACAGGAGGGAAGTTAAGTAATTCTATGTGATTAAAGTATTTAAAAAAAACTGAAATCTCAATATTCAAAACTTAAAAAATTTGTCCATAAATAAACCTATTACAAAGAGGACGAAGAGGGGAGGATTATGAAGAAGATAAAGTTGATAGCAACATCACACCTCAGCTTCAACAAGTGATCCTACAGCGTAGTTAGACATTTTCTTGGCTCTTTTAGAAATAGAAGAATTAGAAATTTCACTAAGGGCTTTAAGGAGCAAGAGTAATCTTCCTCCCGTATCAGCAGTTGGAAGAGCTTCAACAGTTGCTATCACTCTGAAAACCATAAACAATCATAAGTTAGTTAACTTACTGCGTTAGTAAAAATAAATAAACCTTTTTCACATAGACTTCTATCATGTAAAACAAGATAAATTCAAAGATTGTAACAATTGAGCGTAGAAACGGTTCATCAAGTATATTATTTAAACTAATACTTGACAGTCAAATATAATCCTTCATCAAAGAAAACAATTAAACTGAAAACTGATGAGGACATCCATAGGAGATTTCGACACACCTACCATCGGAGGGGTCGTCGAGCGACGGCCATGATTCATATTCTTTATTTTTTATGTTTTATTTTATTCATGTCATTTATATTTCATGTTATATTTCATGTTTTCCATTTGTACCCCTATGAGGGAGCTAGTGCTTATTGTAGCCCAGGGGCAATGTCGTCTTTATGGTTTTATTTTCGGATGGCCTATATATAGGCTTAGTCATTGTATTTGAGTTAGTTTTTGATTAATGAAAATTTCTTTTGTTTATAATCTCTTAGTGAGTTCTTTGAGTGGAATCCCAAGATCTCTTAGTGAGTTCTTGAGGAAGAGAGTTTTAATTGATTCCCTCTTCTCCCCTTCCTCCTCCCACGGTTTTTCCCACCTCACCCCCTTCTTCCGCCGCCCCAAACAACCCTGCATCCCCAGCTACCTGCCGGCCTGCAGCCCCACCACCCGCCGGCCAGCAGCCCACCGGCCACCCGTTGGCCCCATCTTGCCGCCGGCCCTCCTCTAGTTCTCCCCTTCGAATTTTGAATTCTCCTCTCTTAATTGCTTTCCTAATTAAGCCATATTAATTTTGGAAAGTTAATTACAAAGGAGTTACAACTATTTGAAATTCAAATTCAATATACCTCATATTTTCATTTGAATTTGGGAGTTACTTAAGTCAATCAATTCTGAAATTTAAATTCATATTTGATTAGATTTAATTAATCCCTTGTGGTCCCCACTCGTTTAATTCCTAAGCCCTCTCACCACTATACATGGCCGGCCACTCCCCTCCCTCTCTCCCCTATTAATTTTCTTTTAATACACCCTTTTTTCTTTCCCTCCTAGACTAATTTCAAGTTTGAAATTCTGAAACTGAAATTAAGCCCTCCATAATTTTGGAAATCTGAATTAAAATTCAGATTTGTGTTTCTTCCCCCATAGCCTCACCCGCCCCCTCTCTTCCTCCCAAATCGTGACCTCTCCCTCTCCCTAGCTCACGGCAAGCTCTCCCACCTCCCTATTTCTTATTCACTATTCAATCCCACCATGCATGGCGGATCCCGAGATTAATAGCGGATTGGTTTTCGACATCTACGGAGATATCCACATCACCCGTTCACCGTTCTTCGACGTCAGATTTGGCTCCGACGACACTGTTAAAAATTATTTGGACTGCATCCTTCCCACTCTCGTGGACGTCATAGACGATCAATTCCAAGATTACAATTGGATCATCAACAGACATCCACCCGCTTCCCCACCTTCACCGCCGCCGCTTCCCTCTCCATCACTACAGATCGTCTGCACCGTCTACCTTGGAGTGATTTCGTTTCTTGTATGGTTCTTCTTCCTCCAACAACCCTAGACGTAGAAGAGCGACTTTGAGCCTCAAGGTGAGACGATTGCTGTGTTAACCGCTGGATTCTAGTTGACTAATCATTTCATTAATTTTGTTTAAGTTGATATTTTAAAGAACTTGCAAATTTAGTTGTAATGGATTGCCTAAGCATTGTTGACTTCTAAGATCTCTCTTGAGTTTTCAATTTTGAGAAGCTTTAAAATTATTTTTATCATTGCTCCAACAAACTTTATTAATCTCTACGAAAACAATTCCTGGTTTCACATCAAAAACAGATTGTGAGGAACTTTGGTTAAATTAAAATCAAGTGCCATAGATTCTGCAGTCAGATCTAGTAAACGGAGCAGCAACAGAATTTTATAAGCAAATCCCATAAGATGATAAACCAATATAAAGTTTGAAAATATTTCCCCCACAAAACAAAAATAGACAAATAAGATAGCATAAAAAGTTTCAAAAATAATTTATGTTATAGAATAAAAAGCTTGTAAATGACTGATTATTAGTGACTATATAGACATATAGGACAAACTAAAATAGCTTGCATCATCAAATTGCAAACGACAAATTAGCTTGGGAGCAACAAGATGCCTATTCAGTATTGTTACATTTGAGCAATGAAAATAAAATAAGTTGCATTATCCAAATGCAAAAACAAAATCAATTTTGGAGCACTAAGATGTTTAGATCCTACCACTTCTAATGGCCTAAAATTTTATAAGTATTCAAGCCCATGTTCCGTGCTGAATGGCAGTACAACAGAAACAAAGGATTATGGAGTTGGTCTGTGGACATTTAATAAAATGTAGCTAAATGCACCATCAGGTGATATATGTGCATATCTGTATCTTGTCTTTCAAGAAGAAAAATAAATTAAAAGGACCCCAAAACAGAGGATGCTTTGTGCTTAAACTGCATTAATGAATGGATACAGCACCTGTGCAACAAAGGCAACATAAAATAACATAAATTTGGAGAATCAAGCACATAACTATTCATCAGTCAAACATAAAACAAAAACGTTGTGTAGAAGAAAAACAGAAGAAAGATCTGCGTTTTCACATCTCAAGTAAAAGATTGAATAGAACAACAATAAATTGTTGGGAAAAAAGGGGTTATAGCATCTAACCACTCTGATTTAGTCAATGGAATCCTTATACTCACGTTGAAAACAATAAATCAGCACAAACAGTAGAAAAAATGGTAGGATACTCACCTTTGACCATCAAAGAAGCGCCTGTGAGGAAATTTCTGTGTGTTATAATCAATCACGGATGCATATCCCACTGCATAATCATGCTCTGGAAGTGAAAGCACCTACATTTACAATAAATTACAAAAAAAAAGTAAACGAATCATTAAGGATCATGATATATCGGACATAAATTTATCAAATCACATGGTGTTGTCTTTTTTAAATTTAAAATACAGACCAAGTAATTCTCTTTCACAATCTCAACGGCAGCATTTACAGTATGGTGTAGCTCCAAATCCAAAGAAGATGATCTTTGACGTTTCTGAACAAGAGAAAGTTTAACATCACCCCATAAATTAAAAGAGAAGAACTACAAGCTGAGTTCAACAAGGAATGACTCGCCTTTCTAGAAATTTGAGGAAGGACATCATACTGCACCACATTTGGACTGTTGATCAACTCTGGCTTGAGAGACAAATCAACTAGGCGCTCTGACTTGGAAATATCCAAAACAAATGCTCTAACAATTGATCCTTTCTCCACATTAATTCCACCCACTTCCAGGGATATAAAATCATTTAATAAGAAAAAAAATTAAAATTAAAAACAAGAAGAATACAACAGCAATTGATATTAAAAAATTAAAAAATTCTTACATTGATGCTGAGAGACAAAACCTACAATGTTCCCATATTTTTCAAAGACAAGTTCAACTCCAAATTCCTTTATTTCTTGAACCTTTCCCGTATGTACACTACCAATACTGAAATCTTTGACCCAGTTCAAATCCAAAATTTTGCTATCTAGAGACTGCAACGCTGATATCTGCAGGTTGGAGGAATGGGAACACAATACCAAAAGAATTAAGCTTATTTTAAAAGAAGATAAATATAAGTACTTGAAGAATCTGATGCCCCGATATCAGATCAAATGTATCCAACATAAAATTATGGTTTAGGGTGAACAATAAAACAAAACTTTAATGACTGAGGCTTGATTGAACCTATCTATCAGTAACTACTTGTAATAGATAATAGGATCTTAGTTTCGGATGAAAATATCAATAAAAGATGATAATATTATTTTAAAATTTATTAAATGAAAGATATTATTCTGTAAAGGCATAATGAACTATAAAATAAGGTACAATATAGATTGATCTAAAAATATAAAGCAGCATTAGCTCTCATGGAGATACGTAGAGATAAAAAATTGGGTCAAATGAGATATATTATAAGATTTGGAGATTTATATAGGATATTGAAGTGACTTGGATAACAATTTTTTTCAAATAATTTTTGAAGATTAATAGGATGCCAAATAAATGAAAAAAACATTTAGGTAACCAATAAACAAAGGAAATTAAATATTGTGCTAATTATTAAGGAATAAAAATTATAAGCCATCTAATGAAGTCATATTAAGGCAATAAATGAACATAAAACTGCAATTAAGCAAGCTATGTAGTACAGATTTGAGTTTTAAGTAGTAAAAGATAGTTGATAGCTAAGTTGAGAGTGATGAAAACGGAAATGTAAACAAGTATGTATCGCAAAAAAAGATGGATAATTTAAGAAGTAATTATATCAAGGGGAAAATTTGAGTGTCCTAAATTGAAGATAAATTAAAATTAAAGTCGGCAGTTTGGGCCCGTACAACGAATGGTTGAAATGCACCAATTAAAACAGTCCAAGAACTAAAAATATAACATGGTTAAAAGTGTTAACAAAATTTTGTGAATAATAACCTTAACAACTCGAACAACACTCAACAATTTTTTTAAAATATAGTAATATATCACATATTTTCATTAGAAGGGACCAAGGCGGCCAGGTTAATTATAAGTATGGCATAGAATCAGCTCCATATAAGAAGGTCAGCACAAGAAAAATTAAAAAAAAAATTGTGAATAATAACCTTAACAACTCGAGTAACACACAACAATTGTTTTTAAAGATGGAAAATATCCCATATTTTCATTAGAAGGGCCCAAGGTCAATACAAAATATTATGGCATGGAATCAACTGCATATAAGATGGTGAGCGCAAGACCAATTACAAGCATTAAATCTATGTGCGCCTTGAAAAATTCATCATAATTGTTGGTTCCTAAAACCTCGAGATTAGAAATTGAGGAGTATATCAGTTAAGCCAAGGCCCTTTGGAAAAAAAGAAAATAATTAAACAAAAATGAAGGAAAAATGAGGATACATAAGTTGAATCCAATTAGTTGTGATAAGGCCTATAAAAATGATGATGAATATAATACTAAATTTACTACATAACCCGAAAAATTAAAAGATTAGGTTATCATTGTTACTAAAACAGAAAACTATAGTAATGAATCCTTCAACATAAAGAACCAGTAAAAATTCTATGAGATACAGATTGCTTTACATCAAATAAAAGAGAAGAATTTGTCACACATAAGAATTTAGTTTAATTATTCAACAATTAACTGTTGGCCATTAAAAGTGAAGCATAATATTAAGTTAAGTGTTGCAGAGATGAGGATGCTCAAGTGGATGAGTGGCTTTACTCTTAGAGACAGGTACAAAACGAACATATACATGAAAAGATTGGAGTAGCTCCAATGAAATATAAGATTAGAGTGAGTCGCCTTAAAAGATTTGGTCATATAAAATGGCGGTCTTTCAATGACTCGGTTAGGAGAGTAGATGTATTATATTTGGCTTGTATTAAGAAAGGTAGAAGTAGACCTAAAAAGACTTGGTTTAAAAATATTAGAAATGACTTTTTTTATTAAATTTAAATGAGAATTTGACTCTTAACAGGACACAATGGAGAAAAAGGATTCTTGTAGCTGACCGGACGTAATGGGATAAAGGCTTGATGTATTCAACAATTAACTGTAAAAATTATGAGATTAACAAAAGCAATTAGTCATATAATGTATGGAAATAAGATCAATCAAACATTTTTTTAATCGCAGTTAAGAAGCCTAGAAAATGTTTTCATGGTGAAGATAAGAATAAAAAAATAAGAACATTCGCCCAACATTCATCTTTCATTTTTAAGAGAAGCAAATCAGCATTTTTATTGAATATAATTCTTGTAAAAAGTCATCATAGTGCCTAACCACCATAGGTGGTTTTCACACAAGTTGCCCATTTCACCTTGTCTTCCAAATTAAAATAATAAAAGTTGAACTATATAAATTGATGAGGCATTAGAATTCATCTAACCTTGTCTTCCACAAAAAAATAACTTTGGATATAAGATGCATCTGTGGAGAAACATAAAGACTGCTTCATGGCAAGTTTAATCTTACCAGTTTCATCATCGACCTAAAAAATGAGAGAGTTCATCAAACCAAAATAATTTTAGAAACCATTATAACTCTTACGTACATAAAACTTCAATTGATATAAGGACTCACATTAATTATATGACTGCGAACTGATTGCCCAATGTAGAAAGCATCCAATAGATTACCAACACTATGATCAGTAGCCTTGGGGATAGGCACCAAAATAAACGATAAGTGATGAATACATTACAAAAATAAAGATTAAAAATAGAAAAGTAGCACATACTCTAATCTTTTGGGAGAATCCGGTCAATCGTCCCAAAAAACGAACAAAACAGCCCGATTCAATTATGTTACTGATGTATCCCTATGTAATAATAAATTTCACACTAACGATGTCATTAGTGAAATGTATCAAAAGGAAATGCTATAAGAATAAAAATAGTATAAAGCATTATAATGCAACTAAGTTTTCAATTATAAATTATCAACTTACACGGACAACTGCCAAGGGATGCATATTAGTGATATCTGAAGGAATGTCCTCAACAAAATGAACTAGCGAGTATTTTGCAGAAAGAATTAAATTGCTGCCATTGATATCTGCAATGAGTTTCCCGTGGAATCATAAAAATAATAATAAATAATAAGCCATCCTATCATCCAAGCAAAAAAACAGAGGCTAACGACTATATAAATAGGAGCTTATAGAGATCTAAGTGAAGCAGAAATTAACCAGATAGAGCAAATACATGTTGGAGAAATTTCAAATAGCTGATCCTAAAAATCAATAACTAACACTGCAGTACTGAAAAATAGCCTACACGCGTGCTGAAATATAAAATCATAAATCAGAAGCTATAAGAAAAGACAATATTTTTAATACAAATTCTGCAAAAGTTACATCCACTTATACAAAGATTGCATTATTTTGAAAAATTATTGTAAGGTATAGTTTGTTCAAGTATGATAAACAATACAATGGTTACAACAAAGTTAACAGAAATGGAAGATGCTTCACAACCTCTGAGAATTTTCAAGAATGAGAAAGACTTTTTCATCAAGACAAAAGAATAAATGTAACTGCAATAGTAAGTCTACCTTAAAGAAAAGTTGACCATCGTCAACATTAATACCTTGGTCAACCCTTTTTACTTTCTATTCCTTTCATATTAATTGTATACATGCATTTTCTACCCCAATATCACATGTCCAAAAAAATCAAATTAACCTTCAACTATTTTACCTTATAAAGGTAATGCATCAATTATCTCACTAATACATACATATCTCACCCTATCTAAAGCAGTACAAATCAGCTAGTTTAGCAAGAAAAGACCAGAATTTCATAAGCCAACCAAACAGAATCAATCTGGACAACAAAGATAAACAAAACCAATTTTCAAAAACTGGGTGGGTTCAGGTTGACCCGGAAACCTGAAAGTGACCCGGTTGACATGCTTAGTTGCCACGGCATCGTCGGTGCTATGGGAAATTCTGCCACCCACGCCACTACTGGCGTTCTCGCCACGAACTCAAGCGATGTTGTTTTGACGCCAATGGACACCGTTAAGAGATTAAGCCAGATCAAGGATGGGTGAATCCTGAATCGTAGATCGATTTAATCTCCTCCCTATTGATTTTGCAGCTGCAAAAAATCTCTCAGAAAATCTTGCAGAACAAAAAAATCCATTGAATGTATCTCAAAATGTAAGGTGGTAGATGTGTTTCACAAAACAAAATAAGAAAGTCTGTACTCTTTCACACTGCTAAGTCAAATAGACACACACTGAAAGTTTGAAACTTTTTATTCTATAGCAGACGAAACTTGAAAGCCGCATATCACGCAACTGAATGCTACAGCAGAGTTGAGTTCACAGGTTGGGTCGGGACAACCTGGTAACCCGTGCGCGTCGGGTCTAGGTTATTTTTCCTAACCCGTTTGCAAAATGGGTCGGGTTAGGGTCAACCCGTTTAAACCTAGGTCAATCTGGGTTCGACTCAAACCCGACCCACGGACCTATTTTGACACCCCTGTTTATCAACTAATTATGGGCCTTAGTTGAGTACTCCAATCAGAGGACATCTACTTATTCGTCAACACACAATAAAAGGAGGAAGATCAACCATCCCCCTTTGTACACAACTAAATTTTATTTTCAAGTGGCCCCCATATTCCTTAGAGTAGGGCCTCATGCCCATGTTTAGGTGTACCCCTACCTGACATGTATCACACATTATTTTCAACAGGAACACGCGTTGTTGGTTGATTGCATTGCCATGGCCTTGACTACATGTCACCCAGCTATCTTCATAGGTCCTCAGAATTATTCTAACTTGCAAGTAGAGATTCCAAAGTCCTTGGGACAAAGTCACCTTGCTTGTGAATATGGTGAAGCTACTTGACATCACTTGGGACTATTGGATAGAACTCAATAAATATCTAGTACAAACTACCAACTCCCATACGATTTGAATCAGGCTAGTAGTCCGCTTCCCACACGTCATTCAAATGCTTCCTCTTCAAACCCAAAAAGTTCCACGATAAATGGTGACATTCAGATCACAGTTTTCATAGCCTATTTCTTATTTTTATTCTATGCATGCTGGTGATTCAAAAAAATTCCAAGAACCAATAGCAGCACCTACTCTTCTAAATATATAAAACAACCAGGCAAACTCTCTTACATGATGCTCCATTGGAAGAGTTCCATCAGCCCGAACAGAGTTGATATCATGGTTTAAAATTGCGCAATATGAGGCTCGCCTTGAGGCCCGCCTTTGCGCAATTTCAATAAAAAACGCCTCGATGCTTACGCCTCGAGTTTTTTTTATGAGGCTTGCGTCTCAACTTGGTTGAGGCCCGCCTCGCCTCACTGGCATGAGGCTTACGCCTCACGCTATATATATTAAAACTTACATAAATCTTGAAGTAAATGCCCGACATTGGACTATATAGGAGAGGAGGAAGGGGAGAGAGCAGTTCATCATAATGATGATTCAAATGAAGAACCCCTTAGTGTTGAAAGTGCTAATGACTTATGAGTTCTTATGTGATATGTCATTGCTATTTATTTTTTGAAATTTGAATTATATGTTAATGAAAATAATACTGGGATTTGGGAAAGATAGAATTTTGAGTTGAACTATATTTCATGTTGTCTTATTATTGGGATATTTTGATTTAACTTCATATCTTATGCTTTTTTATATATTATTCACTCATTAGTATATAAAAATTTTATTATTTTATGTTTACGCAATTTTTTGATTTTGAGACTTACGCCTCAAAACGCCTTGAGGCTTACGCCTCTCCTCACGAATGAAAAAAGCTTCAATACCCGAATACGCAATTTTAAACATTGGTTGATATTGTCCAAGTCATGCATCAAAACAAGTTTGAATTATATTAGCTGTTTCGAATTATCTCTAGCATTTATTTTCATTTCTTTGTAATTGGTTGTCAAGGAAAAAAAATTGATCAAATTATCCTTTGCATTATGATTAAGTCTCTTTTTAGATAAAAATGATTATTAAGTAGAGATTGGGAAGGATTCAAACTAGTTTGAATAAATCATGCAACCATATTTCTATGAATGGGAATTCAAGAGCATGTAATTATCATCATATGATGAATGAAATTTGAAACAATCCTCTGTTCCAAGTAAATTCTCAATTATCAGTCCTCAATACAATTTGCGATATAAGTAAAAAAGAAGATCAATCCTTGGTGATCTTCAACAAGGTCCATCATCACTAGGTACAATAACAAAAAATTTTAATTTCAACAAATGTAAATTTAAAATTAACAAGGACAGAATTCTTCAAGTTGAAACCGCAAAAAGGAGGAATTATAAAAATTGTATGGCTATTTTCAACATCAACAAGCATCATATCAGATTAAAAAGATCTCCAATTAAGTTTGAATTATAAACTAATTCGAGATAAATTATTACGATTCTGAATACACAAAAAATGGATGCTTACCTAGCACCACAAGCTGATCAAATGCAAATCCCGGCCTCAACAAAGATCTCAACAATGCAACTTGCCCTGATAGATGATTATTGGAGTCGAAATATATTAGCAATGGTGTATTTCCTGCTAAGAATAATATAAGAACCAAAATATCATAAAAAATACCTTGGTGGTCTGCCAAATGTTCGTAAGAGATAAAACCTCTGAAGTGGCTAAAAGTTTCAATATTTATAATAACTGCAGTAGGGGTTAGCTTATCAACAACACCGCCAACAATGCTACCTATCTTCACCATATCAGTATCATTAATCCTGAGATACGGAAAAAATAAACAGTAGAAAATTAATCAATTGATCAAAAAAAAAAAAATGCTCATGTAGAGTTATAAATCAAAACATGCATATACTTCAAGAATAATAAATCTTATCAGGGCCTAAAAACATTGAATGGAATGTGCTACCACCTACCCATCCAAAGGCACCACGTATCACTCAACAAAGAAAAAATGATTATTATAAAACATAATCGTTAAATTACTTAGTTTTAGACTCTGATATATAAAAAAGAATTATTACTTTTTTCTCTTATGTACTAGTTATAATCAATGTTTAAAATTGCATATTCGGGTATTGAGGCGTTTTTCATTCGTGAGGCTAGGCGTAAGCCTCAAAATCAAAAAATTGCGTAAACATAAAATGATAAATTTTTTATATACTAATGAGTGAATAATAAAAAACATAAAAAAGCATAAGATATGAAGTGAAATCAACATATCTCAATAATAAGACAACATGAAATATAGTTCAACTTAAAATTCTATCTTTCCCAAATCCCAGTATTCTTTTCATTAACATGTAATTACAATTTTCAAAAATAAATTGATGGGGACATCAGATTTCGACATGTGTACCATCGCCTGAGGCGCCGATCGACGGCCCCTGATTCAGAGTCTTTATTTTTGATGTTGTATTTTATTCATGTCATTTATATTTCTTGTCTTTTTCCTTTTGTACCCCTATGAGGGAATTAGTGTTTGTTGTTGCCCAAGGGCATTGTAGTCTTTTACTTTCTGTATGCTTGTTGAGCCTATATAAAGGCTTGGTCTTTGTATTTTGGATTGTTGCTGAATGAAATGAAAATTTGCTCTCTAGAGGTGTGGAAATGCTTAGGAGATGAAGGGATTTCTTGGCTTACTAAACTTTTTAATACTATTTTGAAGACTAAAAAGATGCCAGATGAGTGGAGAATGAGTGTATTAATTCCTATTTTTAAGAATAAAGGCGATGCACAGGATTGCACGAATTATAGAGGTATTAAGTTAATGTGTCATACTTTAAAAATATGGGAGCTGAGTTATGGAGCATAGGTTGCGACGCGATACTAATGTTTCTTAATATCAAATTAGATTCATGTCTTGTAGGTCAACTATGGAAGCTATACATTAATTGAGAGGTTTGATTGAGAAGTATAGAGATAATGAGGAGGATTTATGCATGATATTCATTGATTTAGAGAAAACATATGATAAAGTTCATAAGTGCTATGGAGAGTTCTTGAAAAGAAAGAGGCTAATAATGCTTATATTCAAGTCATTAACGCCGACCACTAGCTCCTCCTTTGGAGATTTCGTCGCAGTGCCGTTCTATCCCACCTCAATGATGTATGGAGAAACCCGAGTGGAATTTCGGGTTTGAGTACGACAACCGTGGACGAGTTAACATCCTCAGATCTCCTTTTTTTGAAGTCGGCTTTGACTTCGACGACATCGTCGAAGACTATTTGGACCGGATCCTCTCAGCTTTAGTGGAGTCCATAAACGATCATTTCTCCATCTACACGTGGATCATCGAAGGGAGTCGTTACACACCACGTCCACGTCCGGCGCCATCCTCTTCTTCCCTACGGATCTACGGCATCGTCGTCCTCGGAGTGGTCTCATCACTAGCATGTTTCTTCTTCTCCCAACGAACCTAGAAGTAGATGAATGAGCGTGACCTCAAGGTGAGACAATCACTTTGTTAACCGCCGAATTCTTGTTGACCATTCATTTCCATTACTTTATTGAAGTTGTTATTTTATAGAACTTGTAAACTTAGTTGAAGTTGCTTGCCTAGACTTTGTTAACTTCTAAGATTTTCATTGAATCGTCAAATTAGCGAAGCTTGGGATTGTATTATCAATACTTTAACGAACTTCTATTAATTTTCTAAGAAACAATTCCTGGTTTCACATCATCTTGGTATCAGAGCATGGCTAGCATGCTTTGCTTGTGCTAGATGCATCCTAGGAGTTTAGCTTACCTTACCATTAGTCATTTACATGCATAACATCATCTAGAACATTTTATTCACTGTTTTATTTCGCTGTCCAGTAATTTTCTGCATGTCATTTTCATTATAAACATTCACATTTAGTTTACCTAAGTGTTGTCTTTGCCACTTGCCACCGACCCAATCACCTAGGTCACTTGCCACCCTAGAAAACCTTGCTGTCCAGGACTTTTCCTGCACTGTTTAGTGACTCGTAAGTGCACTTTAACCCTTGACAATTTGCTGTCCACACTCTGCAGCCAACCCGTGACTCCTAGACATCTTTCGCCTTCGTGTTAGGTTGCTGTCCTCGACTTTCCAGCAGCTGTTTGAGGCTTTAGGAGCTGTTTTCTGTAGCATTTAAGTGCTGTCCTCCACCCCAACTCTACCCCATTCATCCCATAACCAACCCCATCGATCCGCAGCACCTCCAAGCTACCCTAGACCTCATCTTGGGCCAATTAGGGACTGTTACGCAGCAAATTCGTAACACTCAGACGGACTTAGCGGATTTTAGGAGATTAACCAGTGATCGGTTAGATAACATAGAGCGTATTGGGAACCCTGCAATCTACACCCCATCACGGCCTCACTCACCCTACGACGAGGATAACCGAGCAGATCATGGCCACCCTTGGAGACCAGTACCGCCATAACCCGAGACCCCATCAAGACCCTGTAGGAGATGAGAACCCTTGGAGAGATAACGATGCCCAGTTGTTGAAAAACATTAGAATTGATGCTCCAACTTATGATGGGACCCTCGATCCCCAAGTCTTCATGGATTGGCTCAAATCCATGGATAGTTACATCAAATGGTATAACATCTCGGAGGCTAGGAAGGTTAGATTTGCAGAAATGAAACTCACGGGTCGAGCCAACTTGTATTGTACCAATTTAGAGAATATGCGCGAGGCTCGAGGCGAACACCCTATCACGGATTGGAGGACGATGAAACAAGAACTTAAGAGAAAATATCTCCCTCCTTCGTACTACCCGAAGCTCCTTGATAAATGGAATAGATTGACCCAGGGGAGCAAGCCCGCCAAAGATTATATCTCGGCCTTTGACGATTTCCTGATCCGTTGCAATGGCGAAGAATCGGCCACCCCAACTCAAATCCTATCCATGTTTAGAGCTGGCCTTAGGGAAGATCTGCGCACTAAACTTTTTGCTCGAGGTGTAGACTCGTTAGAGGCAGCCTGTAGCCTAGTTCTCGACCTCGAAGATTCTAAAACCCACTCCCAAACGAGGCACTTTAACTCCCGCTCGAACTCGTATAGAACCTCGTCTGGACAACCTCAAAACCGACCCTCGGGATCGACTGCAAGCCGAACCCCTGCTAGTTCGGCCCCACCTCGCACGGACCTCAAAGGTAAAGCTCCCGAGCGAGACGCTCCCAAACCCAATTCTGGAACCAAGTGCTATA